AGACATACAGACACACAGATGCACACACAGACATAGACACATACACACACAGACACGCACGCACACAGAGACACAGGCACACACACACAGAGACAGACGCACAGATGCACACACACAGACACACAGAGACACACAGACACAGATGCACACATAGACACATACAGACACACACACACAGACATGCGCACACACAGACACACATGCACACACAGACATACACACAGATGCACACACAGACATACTGACACACAGATGCACACACAGACATAGACACATACACACACAGACACGCACGCACACAGAGACACAGGCACACACACACAGAGACAGATGCACAGATGCACACACACAGACACGCACACACAGACACACAGAGACACACAGACACAGATGCACACATAGACACATACAGAGACAGACACACACACACACAGACATGTGCACACACAGACACACAGATGCACACACAGACACATACACACACACAGACATGCGCAGACACACACAGAGACACACACACACACACACACCGACGCACACACACACAGAAGAGGCCTGCTACTTTCTCACACAGGAAGCACCAATAGCTGTTGACCAAGAACGGCTGCATCCAGCTCTAGATTCCCAAGGAAAGAAAACTTAGAGGTCACCTTGAGCCAAGTGCCCAGCCCAAAGCAGCACTGTACTGCTCCGAGCAAAATCAGTTCCATTGGCAGGAGGGAGTGGGCACGATTGCTGGGCAGTCAACAGGTTCCATCACAGACGGCGACCCACTTTCCCCTTCCTCTCCAGCAGGATTTTCATCTTCTAGAATTCAAGGTGGAGACAAAGGGAAGTGACCCCGCAGGTGGTTTTATGTGCTGGACAGAGGCACAGACTCCCTTCCCCAGGGGCCTGCAAATCAGGAGATACTTACACCTCCAATTAGGCAGAAGCCATCTGTTCACTCGTACATACACGAAATACTGAACAAACGTCCTGGACACTGTTCTAGGCACTGGGGATGCATCAGTGAACAACACAGACATCCCTGCCGTTCT